GATTTTCTTTTTCACTCTTCTTTTACATTATACTAGGATGCTAATGGGGAAGCGGTTTCCGTGATCAATCAGGAAATTAAAACATTTCTGATCAGCCACCATTCTGCCTTAAACGAGAAGTGTCATATGCACCCAAATCTGCAGCTATTTGGACAATTGTCCCCAAAACTTGAGGTTTTTTTGTTGTTTTTTTTTGGAATTGCCAAGGATTTTAGTTCCCAGATGGCTTCTCTTCATATCTCAGTGATTAATTTCTCATGTCTTATATGCTTAAGCTAGCTCTCTTTTTTTTTTAAAGAATGGAAATTATTTTTAAGTTGAGATGGGTACTGTCGAGCTGTCTTAACTTTCTGGATTTCTGCAATGTTACTGAATAGGAGCTAGACTGCCAAAAACGCTCCAGCTTATATTCAACTGTTTTTATTATTATTATTATTTTTTAAAAAAGAGAACGTTCTAAACAGGCCGTAGTATAGCTTTATTTACAAGTTTTGTATTCAAAGGAATTCAATAGAAATCAAATATTTACAATTTCATTGAACACTATGCAGAAAGGGAGAAAGACGGACTGATTTTTCCTATCGGAATCAACGTGGGAAAGTTGCAAAACGGATTCTCACTGTTCTCCAGTCCACTTATGCTAGACTTGTGATCAGAAACGGAAACACAAGATGTGAAATAAAGTGCATTATTAAATATAGTAATTCACTTTGGTGGATGAGGTTTTGGGCTCCATGTGAACCCCGTGTTCCCTTTATTCCCGTCTCACACATTAGAAAAATAATTTTAAAAGTTCACCCCATTCATTAATTTCCAGTTTAGCCATGTCCATGCATTGCCTATTCTGAATATTTACAGTACTCTTTGGGTATCTTTACTTAGCTGTTTCTTTGGACTAGCAGCAACAACAACAACAAAAATCCCTTTGAGCGAGGCCTAGGTAGCCTCTGACAAAGTTAAGAGCAGCACTAACTAAAAACTGGACCATTAATTGGGCCGTGTGGCAGCTTGTTAAGATTGCAATTTAAAAAAAAAACACAGGGCAAATTTTATGTAGTTCTTTCCCCCCCTACCCCAGTACAAAATAGTTGCATTCTATTCTCTTGAACATTTTTGCAATGTCCATTTGGCTCCATAGTGTTAATTTGCTCTACAATCAGTGAAGGGCGGTGGAAGTAAATATTCCCAGTGTCTTTTACAGTCAGGATTAAAAACTGAATTGCTTGGCAACTTAACGCAGCAAGAAGCTGTCCTCTAAGATCAAGAAAATGAACGCCTCTCAATAAATTACATAAAAGGCCAAGCTAATGCAAACCAGTGCTGAAAAAGCAGCATACACCCAGTGGTTTCGTTACCCGAAAGCTTAAAAAATAAAAAATAAAAAAAGCTAACTCGATTAATTTAAAGTTAATTTGAAGATCGGTAAGACATTTCCCCCCCCCCAGTGGGTTAATGCTTCTGTAGGACGAACAGCCGAAGTTCTATGCAGGGAAAAAAAGTGATAATGCTCAGAGATGTCTTGGTGGGATGCTTGAGGGGTCTTTCCTTGGTGATGTGCCAGAAGAAAAGACCTACGCTGAAAAAGACCTAAAAACTAATTCAGTAAAGAAATAAAGTGAGAAGGGCAGGCCACTCCGTAGAATTGCAATCTTAAAACTGTGTATTTTATCTCGGGATCAAGGGAGCGTGGCTGTTACGTCAGTCATCGCGGTTTCCCTCGTGGTTGGGGATGCTGGTGTCTCAAGCGAACTGCAGTCTTGCGTCAACAGCACACCTAGGATTTCACTGGCTGCTCGTGGGCTTCGTCTCCTTCGAAGCCGGGATTGTCAAGCTGGGGCAGCGTGTGGACCTCGGGGGTCTGCGAAGCGTTCACGAGACGGAGATGGTCACCTTTGGAGAGAGGAGGAGGAGGAAGAGGAGGAGGAGGAGGAGGAAGAGGAGATGGTTGGCTATCTTCTCAGAAGCCTGTCAAATTTCTTTGTGTGAGCTACAGCTAGTGCTGGAGATAGGATGGTAAATGGAGGCTGCCCGTTATGGCTGCAAGTGGTGATGGCCGTTTGGAAAGATGGCCTAATAATAATAATAATAATAATAATAATAATAATAATAATAATAATAATAATAATAATAATAATAATAATAAAGTTGGAAGGGACCTTGGAGGTCATCTAGTCCAACCCCCTGCTCAGGCAGGAAAACCCTATACCATCTCAGACAAATGGCTGTCCGGTCTCTTCTTAAAAACAGTGTTGGAGCATTCACCACTTCTGGAGGCAGGTGGTCCCACTGGTTAATTGTTCTAACTGTCTGGAAGTTTCTCCTTAGTTCTAGGCCTTAATGACCTTTTTACCTTCTGCCCTCCTTGATGTGGACGTGTGGATTGCTCAAGCAGAACATGGGGGGGGGGCTCAGAGGTGCAGGTCTAGCGCAGGCCCAGGCCCACCTGCCCCAGGTCTCCTAAAGCCCTCCCCCCAAGACCCCCCCCCCGTGCTCTGCTCCCCACTCCTTGGACCCCTGCAGGCATTTCCTTCCCCCAAGAGGTCTCCGTGGGCTTTAGGCCTGATTTCCACCCCACCAGGCCCAACAGCCTTCGGAGCTCTCCAGACCTCACGTTGGGGAAGGAGGGCAGGCCACGGTTCCCTAGGCCACGTGGCTGCCTCCCAGAATTCCTTGCAGGCGTGCCGAGATGGCGGTTGCTTTCATGAGGCTGCCACACACACCCACCACAGACAAACTGCTCTGTTTGGTTTCCGTAATGCAGCCTGCCCAGTGCTGCAGCATCTTAAGCGCCTGGTTGAATCTTGAGGACTACCCGTGCAAGTTTTTTGTTTTTGTTTTTTCAATTCAGAGCTTCGTCTGCTAGCAGGACGCTGGGAGAAGAGAAGAAACACTTTTGTGAATGAGAAAATCGTGACTGACAACAGGTGGGCTTCAGGCAAGCCACTGACCTTAAAATACCAAGCAATTTGAAGGATTACCGAGACATTAATTGGCCGTTTTAAAAGAAAGGATAGGAGTTAATAGGCTTAAAAGTTTGTAGATCAGTTTGAACAGGTTCAAAAATAGAAAGTGAAATGTTAAAAGTCTTGGGAAAGGATAAGATTATCTGCTGGAATGTGTTTTTTTGCCAACTAGGCCAATAATCCTTACTAGTTTTCTATAGTTCCTAATTCTATTAAGGAGGATTTTCATTCAAAGCCTTCTTTGAATGATCCAGTAAGTAGCATTTGGTTGTTATGAATAAGATCATAGCTACCAAATCCCAGAATGGATCATGCAAAGGCGGCTTTTCATTCAACTTCTATTATTTTGTTCAACTAATATTATGTGGAGCTGCTCCTCCTAAAAGACTGGGTTTTTTAAAAAAGAGCTCATTAATTAAATCAGGAGCTACAATAGGCTTCTCCATCTTGGCAGGATAAACAGAAATGCAATATCCCAATGGCCAAACCCAGCGGGAATTCTTGCCGACCACGTCTTGATATGTCAAAAACCAAAATGCTACACTCATCTAGAACAGTGGTTCTCAACCTTTTTAATGCTGCAACCCCCAACCGGTCGTAAGTCGAGGACTAAACCGGTCGTAAGTCGAGGACTAAACCGGTCGTAAGTCGAGGACTAAACCGGTCGTAAGTCGAGGACTACCCAACCGGTCGTAAGTCGAGGACTTTCCCTGCCCGGGAGCGCCGCGCATGCGTGGTTCCGCCCCCTGCGCCAGCCGAGGCGTAGCTGGCAAGCGGCAGAGAC